AGGGGGAGGGGGGAGCGGGGGTTCCAATTGAGTACGTGTAGTCGCTCTCAAAATTGGAAATGCTTGAAGTTGAAATGTTAACTGATCTGGTGAAACAATCTATCATTGGTTTACAACCTTGAATGTTTAACACGTGAAAAAACGAAGAAATACTAAACTAAGACGTTCAAGGTATCTTGAAAATAATAGTATTGATTTTGTTCAAACGGGGCTAGGTAAGCTACTTCTCGTACATTCTCTTAAATGAAATCGAACGATGTTCTCGCAACTTGCAAAGCAATCTCACTGGAAATTGTCAGCGAAGTAACATTACATTGAAGACGAGCACAAGGTGTTTACAAGGAAAAAAATGTAGCGGTCAATCCAGGAAATTAAGGAGCTTTGCCTGGCTGGTTCTGTTCTAAGGATCAAAGACGCTTACTGTGTTGTAACGCACATCAGGCCGGAATAAGCACTTGCTACATTTATCGCCGTTGACAAGTCAAAGCTGCTTTCCTCAAATACCCGTTCATTTGAAGTGACGGCAAGCGAAATGTGCGGAGGTGTTTTAACGATTTTTACCGAAGCTTAGAATGAGTTGCAATTTACAATTCCCGACGAAGACATTTTCAATCTAAGCTCGGATTTGTATTTTAAAGTTCCTCGCATCTTCAAACGGGCTTCGCAAAAAAAAAAAAATCAACACACAGGCAAAAGAAAAGGGCGTATCCATAATATATAGTTTAACTTCCAAGACCACATTTCGCACGTGAAGGATTTCAAAGGTCCGCGTAGCTTAGTTAGCCCGCTGACAGGCCCGTGAATTGACCGCTTTACAAATTATGAGATCATCGTTTCTCAGTCCCAGATCTCCTCGCTCCCCCCCGCTTCGTGTTCAAATTTATTTGAAACAAACTAAATTCACATCATAAATCCTTGCCTCTATAATATCATAACTTTTTTTACGGTTATCTTCGGGGCCTTTTTCCAAACGCAAAGGGTCCATATAAAGGTAACAAAAGTTTACATAATTAATCGTAAGTGTGTTTTAGTTTAAGTTTGGTTGCTTCACCATGACCCAACACAACTGGGTAACCTCGCGCCAGGAGGCAGCATGAGCCACAAAACGTCTTCCTTGGACAGGCGTGTAACAGATTCGACACAAGGTTTTTATTCGCGCTTGATTTAATTCCTTGTAGAACAGCTGTGGTCAGGATCCACAAAGAGTTACATACTTATATGCTCAAAGCAGCCCAAGGAAATCAGATAAGCTGATCAAAAATAAAATCAAAGCAACCTCATGTGTTCATCATAGTGCCTAAGGAGCTGGGAAGTACTGCCCAGTTCCTCCTGGCAAATCCAGCAAGTAAACGTTTCATCGTTATCTAAAGAATGAAGCTGCTGTCCAGTGTGCATTCTTTCATGCTTTTGTAGTGTTCCCTTTCGAGTAAAAGACTTTTCACAAGTTTTGCACTGGTATAGCTTCTCTCCAGTGTGGAATCTCTCGTGTGCTTGTAGATCTCTTTTCTTAGTAAACCTTTTGTGACAGGTTTTGCACTGGTAGGGCTTTTCTCCAGTGTGGGTTCTTTCATGGACTCGAAGACTTCTCTTTAGTTTAAACTTCTTGTCACATGTTTTACACTGGTGTGGGTTCTCTACAGTGTGTGTTCTTTCATGTGTTCGTAGGTTTCCCCTATGAAAAAGCCTCATATCACATGTTTTTCACTGGTGTGGCTTCTCTCTAGTGTGTGTTGTTCATATACTCTTAGATTTCCTTTCTGAGTAAACCTCTTGTCACATGTTTTGCAATGGTATGGCATATCTCCAGTGTAGATTCTTTCATATACTTGTAGACTTCCTTGACGAGAAAACCGCTTCCCGCATGTTTTACATTAATAAGGCCTTTCTCCAGAGTGGGATCCTGTTCTTCGATTTCTCTCTTGTTTAAAATACTTGTATTGCATTTAAATTCCTTTTCCAGACACTGGTTGCTTCTAGGTTTTGCAGATTCTTTGTAAAGTGATTTGATTTCCCGCTTTCTATGTACTTTGTCAGTAGAAGCATAAACTGGGAGACACTCCTTGATAGGAAAAGTAATCTCAAATGCTAGGAAAAAAAATTGTCCGCGTTAAGTTTGAATAGGCCAAGAAATTGAATGGAAAGTTGTGTAAAATATGTTTCAAACAGCAACACTCTACCAAGATAGGAAGGTTTATTATAACAATTGCCACGAACAAAGAGATTTACAGACAGTCCAATTGCTGGCCATGCCTCTAAAGGAGAACACAATATAGTTCCTATGATTTTTTCGGGTACTGCTTCCAACAGGAGGCTCCCCCTATGAGGGCCACATGTTGCCGAGATGAGCAAGTAATCGAGTGAGCGAGAGAGACTGACAATAGAATTCTGATTTTAACCCAACTTCGTCCCAATGTTTCCTGGTGCTACTCATTCTTTGTTTAGGAGTCCTACAGAAAGTGATAAACATCTAAAAACAATTTTAGGATGGTCCATGAAAAAGCAAAGCCCTCAGTTGAAAGGGATGGTCGGCACATCATGAAAACTTAGTGGGAAAATTTTCTCCTTTTAATGAGATAGCAATTTACTGTTTTAATCAGTAAATTATGGCCAGTATCTTGCGAGACAAGTTTTGGGTCAGCCTCGGTGTAAAAATCTGACGAGGTTTTCTTTGTTTCATGAGGTATTGTTTTGCTGTACGCTATTGTTTAAAATGTTTTGTTGTCTTTGTTTTACGTCACTCATGAGCTTCACAGGTTTTTACACCGAGGATGAGCCTAATTTTTTCACTTCTTGCAGTAACACCACACTGGCATCTCTGGCAGTATGTAAAATTATATGAAAACAAGACTTTTTCTTGCAGAAATAGCACATCATGGAAATTTTGAAGAATTCAAAGAGGGAGAATTTTCATTTTTTGCAGTACTACTGCTCTAAAAAGCCATTAAATTTGCGTAGCGAGCAAAGTCTGGAGTTTAATGGGACAACCCTCTTTGATGGAATAACGGAACGTTTGAATGGCAAAATATCCAAGGGCACAGAATTAATTAAAACAAAAGTATCAAAAATATGAGATTGCAATAAAATAAGAAAACAATTTATAATTATTGGGAAAAATTAATAGGAGAATAGTTTAATCATTACTGGGGCCAAGAGGATAGACTAATAGGAAGAGTGAGAATTCTTGGGCTAGCCCCTCTCACTGCTATTTGCCCAGTCTGGCACTGGGCAAATTGACCAGCTGTGAGGACAGATTTGCCCACCTGGTTTGACCACCCAGAGGAAAGTTAAGTCCAGAAAGAAGTTCAGTTCAAAAAGTTTTGCCTACCTGTGAAAAACCATTTGCCCTCCTGCTAGAAAAATTAATGAAATCCCTGCCAACACTATTGTTATCATTATTATTATTATTATCAATGTAACATTATTTTTGGCCATTTAATTATCAGTGGAGTGTTAACTAGCCACTATATTCTTGAATAATCTTTCTCTTGTGGAAATATGGAAGAGGGCCCAGGTTTTCTGTTTTGAAACTTGAGACAAGTCTTCTGCAACATTACCGTCCAACATCATTAGCTCTTTTTAATCTCTAGCCCTTTTCTCGAGCTTTTTCCATCTCTAGCTCTTTTCAATGCTATAACAATTGTGCTATTTTAGTACCCAAATGTAGTCTTAAGAATTCCTATTACTTAATTTAAGACATAGTTGTCACTGTATTAACAGTTTGTTCAATGACCTTGTCAGATGGAATAGGCAGTCCACCTGTTACCATCAATTCTTATATGGCTGTGTCTCACAAGGACTGGGAACTACCGAATTCACGAATTTGATTGGCTGAAATCAATATTAAAAGTGGTCTAGATTTTCCCATCTAGAACTTGTCTAGAAAAAAAAAGGGACAAAGAATAAAAAAAATTGGTATAAGACAGCCATATTATAAACACCTTATTAACCGAGCTAAGTCGGTCTGTATGGGAGGATCTTGACCAAGGTCACTGGTACAGACCTCACTGCGTTCAGTCTGTACTGGTGACCTCGGTCAAGATTCTCCCATAGAGACCTCTTGCTCGGTTAAGAGGAACTAAGTATTAAAGTGCAAAGTACCAAAAGTGGATGACAGAAATTTTTTATGGTGAAAACAAAAAAGATTTCCAGTATACTTTACCAGAGAAGTCTTCTTTAAAGGTAACAGAAAATGATGGGAAATTTATAAATTGGAAACATTTCCAACTTTACTGTACACTCTTACATCAAATCCCCTCAATGAGTATAAAAATTTTCAAACTACAATTTTGCCCATTTGTGATTTTCAAATTTTTGGACTTCATTAGAGAAAACAAATTTTCCTTTTTCTCAAAATACATGTCTCTTTTTTCTTCTATTGAAAAAAATTTCTATTGCTTAAATTACCTATATTTATCTACAGTTCTCTGTGAAAGAAACTCTTTCATATTGCATTGGGTGACAAAGGAACAGCCATCTTAAAAGAAGCAGGATTTACCAACTCATGGTTACTCCAAACCTTCCCAGATGCATTCACGAAAAAAATTGGTGAGTGCTTCATAGCTCAGTTGGTACTTCTCCTTGAAAACTTGCAGAGCATAAAAAATATTTCAAGTTTTAAAAGGAGAGTCGCCCATTTTCTTGAAAACTTACTTAAATGGATACAAACACATCTTTTAACCTGTATATGAACTCATGTAAATATTTTATGTTTTTATTGTTATCATTTTTTTTGCAACACATGTTGACATTTCTTTGCCCCATTGTACTTGTAATTTATCATTGAATATTTGCTATCAATGTATATTATGACAGAATAACCTCAGATAGGGGAGCCCTGATAAAGTGTATGTATTGTATTCTACTTGGTGTCCAGGACCCAAACAATTGAATCCGTCAAAGGTTAAATTTTTTTTAGCCTTCCTTATTGCAATTGCTTGAATTGCAACTCACCTGGTAGCATCTTTGTTTTACTTGATAACTGTTGAAAATATGCTTTTCATTGAGATAACCTCTTTGAATTGTTTAAGATATGATTAATGACAATGGAAATCTTTTTAAAGTTGAGGAATTCCAAATTACAATTTAAATAAAAACAACTCTCTTCCATATTTTTAACTGATAGCAGCATTTCCATCAGATTTGAAAAAGAAAGCCCAAATGGCTAAAACTCCTGAACCAGAGC